TAAGTGATCAATGCCTGAATCAGTCAAGATGCTAATGAAACCAATAAAATGAAACCAATAATGAATGAATGCTGACAGAATTGCAAATATGATTCTGATGTGCTTTGAAGTCGATGTGAAGTTCGAATAACGTCCGATGATAACATTCGTGATATTTGAGTTAATATTGCAGAGTGTTTGTGCGATATGTTTTGCACTTTTGGTTGATCGGGGACTGGTGAAATACGAAGATCTTGTTACGAAATATTGGCCAGAATTCGGGCAAAATGGCAAGGAAACCATCACTATTGATCAGCTACTTGCCCATCAGGTAGGTGGCTCCTCTCGTTTGTTTCACAAATAAAACTAATAAATTGCTTGCCCGATTAAGAAAACCAATTCACAGCCTATGGATTGAATTTCACCCTGAAAATTTTAAAATTNCCATCACTATTGATCAACTGCTTGCCCATCAGGTAGGTAGTTTCCTCTCGTTTGTTTCACAAATAAAACTATAAATTGCTTGCCCGATTAAGAAAACTAATTCACAGCCTATGGATTGAATTTCACCCTGAAAATTTTTAAGTTTTCACCTGTTTTGAGCTCCTTTGCTCATTTAACAAATAGATTTTTCTTTGTGTGATTGCTGCACTTTTGGGACTTCTCTGTCCGAAGATTCATCGAAGTGCGGAAAATTTCATTACTATGGCGTTTTCCTATGTTTTTTTCTCAACAATTTGATTTCGAAAGAGGAACAGCATGAAGAATTTGGATTAGAAAATCAACTGATTTCTGGTGTACTTTTCGGTATTTTAAAGGCAGGATTAGCGTTCGTCGATGGAAAAATCGAAGAAGCCGACGTGAAGGATTGGACGAGGATGTCGAAATTATTTGAACAACAGAAACCGAATTGGACACCCGGAGAATGTGTTGGCTATCATGCGATGACAATCGGCTGGTTGTATGATCAGTTGGTGAGACGAATTGATCCAAAGAAGCGGTCGCTATCGACGTTTTTCAAGGAAGAAATCGCCATACCATACGGTCAATCTCATTGCAAAATCGTTTTTTTTGCGCCAAAAGAATGTTTTAAAATGAAATTCATTTTCTGAAGTTTTTACCTTAGAGCTCAACGATAACTCATCTAGCTGAACAATGCGAACTGCTCAAAATTCAGTTGTATGTGTCCTCTGAACACATACAATTGTTGAATGCTTATCATGATTTGTATTATTTTTGTTGTATTGAATAGATTTCTACGTGCTAACACTCATGGTGTTTGTTATTGGAATGTTTTATCAACACTAGTGAACCAGTCGTAGGGAATCTGATATGTTCATGTACACACGGTTATAATCATCCTACCAGGATGATTCTGAGCTGATCTCCTTTACAATTTTAGAAATCCGTCATGAAACTATGAAATCTTTCAAAAATTGTACATATCATGTGAATGGTCTGTGATGCATCCATATTTACAAGTATTTCTCAACAGTTCGGTAACTTCCGTCAGATATAAATTTCACTTTTCTAGATATTGAGTTAGTGATCGGTGCCGGAGCTGAACTCGAGCATCGCATAGCACGATTGTCTGCATCCAATAAATTAACGGCTCTACGAGAAATAGTACAATATCCAATTATACTGAGGATGGTTTGGAACTTAATCGCCGCTCAAACGTACAGCTATAACTTATTGAGTAAAGTTGCGCACAATGTGGCTTGGTTGGGAAATGTAATTTTTTTCAATTTCTTTCATTAATATTATCGAGTGACATAAAATTGAGTGTACTTTGCTAGAACGGAATAATGACAAAAAACCAATAGATATTAAAATATCATTACAAATTTGTGATATCCGCTATCGAATTTCACTCAGTTTGAGACACTGGCTATTAG